GGCCTTTCAGCCGGTCCCCAAATGAGAGAGGGGTGGGTGGATTATGGAGGAGGGGAAGGGGTCGCCCGTCCCATCAACGTTGCCTCCTGTCACCGTCAAAATGACGACGGCTTTGTTGGTATCGTTGTGGTGCCTGTTGTCGGCGGCGCTGTTGCTGCCAATGCAGTGGCTGCTGCCTTGGTTGGTATGACTGACGGTACGACGGATGGGTCCAAGACCACTTACGTCAGGTTTGTGGTTGAAGCTCCATCCGCCGAGCCGTCATTCTGGATTCGTAGATCTTCTTTAGTTTATGGTCGGTTCTGGCGTGAAAAAGACTGGACCCGTCAAAGGGCATCTCCTCTATGCGCCTCTTCGTCTCCTCCGGAAAATTGCAATTGCGTAGCCACACATGCCTCCAGAGGGAGACAGCACCGACCAGGGCCCGAGAGTCTGTGTCCACATGATGGCGCGTGGTGGATAATTGCTGTACTGCGGCCTGCATGGCTTCCTTTATAAAACCTTTCGCAAGGTCGCCTTGGTTGCCTGGGAGCGTCGCGATAACATTATTGAGGCACTGCATTATAAAGTACTGGTATCGAGCCAGTGTCGCCTCATACTTCAAAATCCTCAAGCCGAGTCCGGAAGCAGCATAGACTTGGCAGGCTATGGAATCGATTTTCCTGCTTTCTTTATCTCTGGGCGTGGTATGGCCCCTTGATTCCCTGCCCTGGGAGGACTCCACCACGACTGAGTTCGGTTTCAGGTGACGGAGAAGGAACGGAACGTCCGCCTCCCGAATACGGTATATGGCTTCGTACCTCCTCGAAGTTGGTTGCGGATGGGCAGGCAGGTCCCACGGCTGGATCATAGCTTGCCGCAGGGTGGTGATGAGTGGCAAGACTATGGATGTAGACTGCTTCCCACGGACAACATCATAAAATTTGTCAGTGCTTGGTCCAGGCCGTTGTATGGCGTCAATTTCCAATGATTGGACCAGGCGTAACATCCGCTCCCCGAAAGAGATGTGGGACTCATTGGGGGACCCAGGGCCCTGGAAGGTGACCACGACGTCTGGAGATGTGGAGTCGACATCGGATACGTCAGAATCAACCCCATAAAATGCGGGAGCAGAAGAAAAAGACACCGCTGGTGACATGGACCGGCTGCTTTCTCTGGTTGGTACCGTAGAGGCTTGCCTCAGGACCGAAGATGTCGGGTGGTCTTGAGGAGGTGGAGATGAGTGACCCCTAGGGGCCGGGTAGTGGCCGACGGAATGGTAGTCCCCCCATTTGTGGTAGAAAGACTGAGGATGGTACCACTCGCCGGATCTCCTCTCAGACAATGGATTTCTCTGCCTCCTAGGAGGAGACATCTCAGTCTCCAGGCCCAGTCCTGCTGAAGGCATAGGCGTGGGGGACCTAGCCCTATGTGGGGAATCTCGGATCTCCCCGTCGGAGATCGATTCCTTAAGCAGAGGTTGGGCAGGCTCCGATGTTGGGTCTCCAACCCACGAGGGGACCCAGGAGGGGTAACCCTCATAGCCTCCTGGAGAGTCGGGCTGGGTGGTGTCGGTACCACGACAGCCGTCAGGACCGAGGGAGCCGACGAACCCAAGTCTCGGTGTTTAGAGCGGTCCGGGTTCTTAGGTTTCCTAGGAGGCTTTCCATTCTTGTCCTTCTTAGGTTTCTCGTGCTCAGATGTCTTATCAGAGCCACTGTGCTTCCTTTTTTCACTTTTCTTCCTAGGTGGGGAAGCAGGCTGATTGCCCAGAGCAGATGGAATTTCCCCAGAAGGGCGTGAGGGCGGAGCCTTGGACAAAGAGGCCAGTGGAGCAGGCAGGGCTGGGCGGGTGGCCGCAGGGCTGGGCGGGTGGCCGCAGCCACGGTCAGAGCGGGGTGGGAGACTAGTGGGTCCAACTGAAGGAGTGCATGGTTCCACAGAAGCCTCCGGAGACAGTTCTCACGATTTTTCATGGCCTGCTTCGAGAAGGCCAGGCAGTGAGAACATTTATCTGTCCTATGTCCTTCCCTCAGGCAGAGAAGGCATAGGTCATGCGGGTCTGCCGGGGACATTTTAGACCAGCATTCCGCGCATTTGAGGAAAGCCGCTCATTGCGCCATTGTAAGAAAGGAAAGAGAGGAGATAGTGCAGGGAGTAAGAATATATTTTTGTTTTTTGTTTTTGAAAGAGAGAAAAAGGTGAAAAAACAAGAGAACAACAACAAGAGTAACAACAAGAACTATCAAAAACAGGATTTGTAACTTGGAAAAGAACAAATGGAGAGGTTATATGGACGAGAAGACGGTCAGAGCAAGAGCAAAAGCAGCACAAGGCACAACGAACGGCGGTTGCAAAGACTGGAAAATGGCGGACACTCTGCTCTATATATACTACTAGGGGGGAGGAGAGTGGCGTTTTCCCGCCAAACCGTTAGCTATCAATCTTCTAGCCACAGGCACTGCGCAGGCGCAGTACCCATATGTGTGATGCACAGAGGCCACAACGAAGAACCTGAGTTGTCAGGAGGCAGAAGCTTCTTTTAGATTTGAAAAACAATGAACACTCAGTGTAGAAAGAAAAAGAGATTTATCTAAACAAAAATAAATACAGCAAAACAACAACTGAGGATGTGCTTATGACACCTCTTCAGCACACCCCTTTTGCTCTCATGAACACCTAAACAATTGCAGGGAGACTCCTTTTGCCAGTCTGCAGAATGCTGTCCCACAATTCAGCCTATGCTAAGGTTCAACTAACAATGGAATTCCCTCAACTGAAATAGATATAACACCGAGGTTACACGTGATTATGGGTGAGAGTGGGAATGGATGATAAAGTGCCTGTACAAGGTCAACTGATATGAATATCTGACACTTGTCAGATATGAAGTTTATGCTTCATCTTTCCCAATTTCTCATGTCAAGCTGGTGTCTGATTTACATTGATTAATCTTAAAGCAACATTCTCAAAATAGCAAGAGTTCAACCTTTGTCTGATACTGGGCATAAGATGGAGGAACTGTGGCGCACCACTAGCTCCTCATAGTCACAGTAGTCTTCCCACATGAATGCCACTACAATACCCCCAAGCAATGTCCATCTTTCCAAGTCAATAATACACCTGCATTCAATTTCACCATGAGCGAAATATCTCTAAGAACCCATCTGCAGAGATACTTTATCACTTCAGGGCCACCAAAATTCCCAGTTAACAACTGCTGTGGGTATCTTGATAATACCTGCAGGCATTAATTTAGATTGTGAGCACTTATGGGTGCAGGGTAGGAGCAACTGAAGCAGTCTTCCCCTCCCCATTCCTGCTGCTCTGCATTTTCAGAAGATGGCTGTTTTCTGCTGCCTGGCATCTTGAGAGGGAAATGAGGAATATCTTGGACTCAAGCAGCTCCAGTTTCCTCCCTTCCCCACTTCGCTCTGCAAGGTCACCTTCAAAGAGCAGCCAGTGCAGTTCTTTCTGTGCCAGCTGGGAGGGGAAGGCAACTGAAGCACTACCCCCAGCCATGGAGCCAGGAATCTAGACTATCCGGGGGCCCTTCACACAATCAGGTAACCATGTTTCACCTAACTGAACATGCTCAAACTGGGGGAAAATGAAATAATTGCATTTGTCGGTGCTTGTGACACAAGATATTGGAGAGACATAAAAATCTAGTCCATTTTTTAAAATTTTGTAAAAAAAATTGCATTTTTTTCAAGGTCACAAACATAAACTGCCAATATAATCTGTCAAACACTTTTCAGCATCAAGTGAAATAATTACAGCTACATCTTTGCTTTCAGAATCTGAAGCAATCAGATGTACTGCAGGTCTTAAATTATCTGCTTCCTGCCTCTGGTGAATAAGCCCCATTTGATCAGAATGGACTAAATGTCTATGGGATCTGCTAAAGCCTATTAACCAGAATTGCTGTTAATATTTTTAGCACCATGTTAATTAAGGAAATCAGTCTGTAATTTGTGCAGTTGGCATGGTCTTGGCCAGATTTAGGGATAATTTTATTTATTTATTATATTTATATCTTGCTTTTTTCCTGCAGGAAAGCTAAGGCAGTTTATATAATCTTGCTCCTCTTCTCCATTTTATTCTCACAACAAAAACCTTGTTAGGCTGACAGTAAGAATCTGGCCCAAAGTTACCCATTGAGTTTCACAGTCATGTGGGGACTAAAACCCAGCTCTCTCAAGTTCCAGTTCAGCATTCTAACCACTACACCTCACTGGCTCACGTGCCACACAGGTTCTCATGCTAGATACTCGATATTGATGCATCATATAAGAAATGAATAAAGTTCGAAAGCTGCTTGGTAAAGATAGAAAAGGTTAAGAGGCAATAAGACTAAATGCAACTTGCATTCCTTGTGTTCTCAATGTCACACCAGCTGCTTCCTCTGCAAAGGTTCTGTAAGCAGCTCCTTTTGCTGTGACTCCAGTTGTGGAAGGACCAACTCTGAAAAGAAAATTTTGGATTCTTGACCCCAGAGGCTCCTTGTCCTTTCTATAAAATTCAGGATAACATTTTTGAAATTCTATATCTATGGCTGTTGAGATGGGATGTGTGTGTGTGTGTGCACAAAATTTAATTGTGATTATCTTTGAGCAACTGCATTTCCTCTTCATTGATTGTATGTTAGCGTAAGAATTTCATAACCATTTATTTGAAATTAGATTCATTTATTTGTTTTCTAGCTCTCCTGTATCACAAGGGCTTAAGCCACATAACAGACTTAACATTATTTTATCCTAGGTATGAGGAACACTGACTATTGGCTAGCTACCAAAGACTATCAGTTTATAATCATTGCAATACCGCAGATTAGCTCTGAAGAGCTTGGTGTAGTATGTGGTGGATATTAGCTGGTAACAAAGCAATAAGGAAGCATTTTGAGAAAGATAATGAACTTTGTGTGGCATGTACAAATAGAGCTCTGCTGATTTGACTGGGAGAAGAGAATTTTTAATCTTTCAGTATTTCTATTGCATGTATTTATTTATTCCTTGTAGCAGTCAGAAGAAAATTTCAACCCTAATTGTTCATTCTGGAGCTATTCTAAACGTACAATGACAGGGTACTGGTCAACTCAAGGCTGTCGACTCCTGACAACAAACAAGACACACACAACATGTTCCTGTAATCACCTAACCAACTTTGCTGTGCTGATGGCCCATGTGGAAGTGAAGGTAAGAAGGGCAGGCATGTAGGGAAAGATTTAAATTTTGAATGTTGCGAAGAGACATTGGTGAGGTTATTAAGTGAAGGTAATTCTGACTGGAAGATAACTGCTATTTGCACAAATCTCACAAAACCGCTGTTTTCTGCACAAAATGGCACCTCAGAAACCTGTACCTTAGTGTTATTTGCTCAAATGGTACTAGTCACATTTGACATGTGCTTTCCTGGTGCAGGTTTGCAAAAATTCTGTTGATGGTTTGAACAAATCACAGCTGGATTTTCCTGTTCCAATTCATCCCTTAGATAGCTATGTTTAATGTTTGGCCATAGAAATGAGCATAAAGTGAAGCTTTTGTCTTCAGAACAGACTTCCTGTTTAATTTTAAAGCCATTTTTCTTTTTTCTTTCTTGACTAGCATTTACCACCCATACAAAACACTTAGGACATTCAGAATTTTAGTGTAGCTGTGAACAGACAGTAGCATACCCTGTCTCAATTAATGGGTAGCAGGATTGACAGAAGTTCATGGCCTGTAATCCCAGGTAAGAGGGTACAGGATATATCCAGGGATATTCTTCTCCAAGTAGACATATAGTGATGGATGGGACTCTTTTTACTCACTGTCTGTTTGTTCCCGGAGTTACATTTATTCCAAGCAGTGGTTCAGTATATTATGTCTTTTAAGATGTCGGTGAAAGCTACTGAGGTATGTTATTCTAGAGCTTGTTGAGAAACTGTGCCTTTCATTGGCCTGAGCAGCAGTTCCAATATTTTTAAGGGTTTTCTGCTTCCATGAAAACCTATAGCAGGAGCAGCTGGCAAATTATGTTGGGCGTGCTCAGTTTTCCTCTGAAGCTAGAATACTGCTAATATTCCAAGGTTCCCCCCCACCAAAAAAAAAAATTGTTCCAGCAGATATAAGGCCCATTCTTTTACTCATGGGGTGACCTCACAAATTGAGACTCCATCTTGGATTAGGACCACTGAATGGGGAAGTGTGGGGAGGGGGGACGATTTTACTACTTTGCTTCACCCAGCTGTGGTCCAAATCTGGATTAGTCCTTCATGCCATGCCTCTAATTTACATCGTCAAAATGTCATCCAGTTCTAAGGTAAATTGTAGGCCAATGATAGAGGGTTGAAGCCCTCTGCCCACCTCCAAATTCCTAATCCATATTAGGTTCTATAAACTTACTTTTGAGTAGAAAGAGAAAAACCTAGCTCCATCTTTTAACATAATAATAATAATAATAATAATAATAATAATAATAATAATAATAATAATCTTTTAACATGCAGCTTGATGCTCATAGAATTTGGAAGTGGTGTGCATTGAATGTACTGACAGGGAAAGCAAAAGGATCAGGGCCTCAGACCACCCTTCTGAAAGCAGAAATGCTGAACAAGGTTGGGAAAAGGACATGCCAGGATTGTGTCTCACACCAGAGATATATTCCCACATTAGATGAATTAACCCTTGTTAAGTTGTTTGAGGGAATCTAGTCCTATTCAGTCATTTTCATCATGTGTAACTGCTCCATGTGAGGAAAGGCAAGGATGAATTTGCTGGATGGCTTGTCATTCTCATCACCTATATGTGGAGGAGGCTGTCCTGTGTTACTGTCTCCACATAGGACAGCCTCCTCTATCCATGGGCATGCTCCCCAAGACAACAGATTGCCATTGGCTCAGTATTTAGAATCCCATTTAGCATATAGTTAAACCTTCAAGAAAGTAGATGCAAATATATTGAGGAGGGGGTAGGTTAGCCAACACTGTCACCATAAATTTCCAAGCCTAAAATGTATACTAAAAAGATACGTTCAGTGCTCCTAAGTTACATACAGAACCTGTGAGGAATAATGTAAAGGAAGTTGTGCGTGTTGATGTTCCTGTTAATACATCATTACCTTGTATTTTCTCTAATAAAATACTTGTTCCCAAAAAAATCAGGGAAATTCCTTTATTCAGCAACTTGTCTGTCTAAGGCCAGAGGTAAAAGTCTCCCATATTGTATAAAGCTCCAGGAAATTGAAACCTGAGGGTGATGTGTCCCATGATCAGCGATGATGTTCTGCAGCATTGCAAGCTGAATCTCTCTGCATCTTACCTCCCATGCACCCACAGTGTTCCTTGGTCAGCAAAGATGCCCCACATTGTCTTGAACCTGCCGTGCCTTGAGCAGCATCTCACCTTCCTACTCACTTGGTCAATCCATCCTGCCAGTCACTGAGGTCAGCAGCAGCTGGCACATATCCATGTACAGGAGGATTCCTCCAGCACTGCAGTATGGCGGCAGAGGGCCAGGACCATATGGGGCATATCTGTCGGGCTGAGGCACTCTATTTGCCCCTTCTGGGTTTGAGATTGAGAGGCCCAGGAAAGTGTGCCTGCTCATTGAACCACTTAATGCAGAAATGTTACAATGCTGCCTGGGTTTTAGGAAATACCCTGATACTACTCCCAAAATGCTGGTCTTCTGCAAATCTCCCAGCATGAGAAACACTGCTGTGCTGGGCCACATCAGTTATTCGTTGACTTTCTGTTTGGCAGCCATTTGATTTCATAAACTGCTTGTAGATAGCTGTGGGATGCCCTTGGACTCCAGAGAAAAAGGGAAGCGCACACTCATCTCTGCCATCAAGGGGTCAAGGGTGACTGGGAGGCTACAGCTTCTGCCTCCAGCACAGTCATATTGGCAAGCAAGAGAGCACCCGGGCCTCATGCATTAGGCTGAGGAAAAGCAGCTGCAACAATGCCACCTCTCCTTCCTGTCACAAGGAACACTTGGCTTCAACTCCCAGTTGTTCTGAGACTGTGTGGAGAATTGCTCCGCGTATAAACAACCCACACGCTCACGAGCAATAAAACTAAAGTCTTTTATTGCTACTTGTCTACGAGATTTACAACACTACAGATAAGCTCTAATGTGAAGGTCTTTACAAGTCAGATGCTAGTTCTCTAGTGATGTCTCTTCCTGAGCCCACGTGGGACTAGCTATCTTGGTCTCGCCTTTCCTCCCTGAGGCGGGACATAGTCTGTTTTAGTTCCCATCGTCTCAGAATTCTCCTATTGGTCGCGAGAGAAAAGTCTGTCCCGCCTCCTGTGTCTCCTGCGTCATGCTCAGGCAGTTCAGCGTCAGGAAGGGGTGGGTCAGTCTGCTCAGGCTCTCCATGAGCAGAACTCATAGTGCCTTTTCCCTCAGAGCTCTCTTGCTTTGATGTAGGCTCAGGTGTTTGCTCAATGGGCAAAGGGTCAGGATGAGGTACGGCTATCTGCTCAGCCGTTCCCACGTTAGGTTGTGGGGTTGACATTTGGGTGCAGGGTCTCAAGCACAAGACCTCCTCGTGAGGTGCTGCCTCTGTCGGGGCATCAGGCATGACAGACTGGTAAACCGAAGTGAAGCACAACTTGGCCTCTGCCATCAGCTAGAGTACTGAAGGCTGCTGGTTAGTTTACTGTCTGTGGTATTCGTGTGAGTTTGCAAGATTTGAGGATTGTTATAATCTGATACAAACCACCTTGAGAATGACTTGATTGAATACTGTTGGCTCGCTCCTTCCAAAAAAAAGGGGGGGGACCCAATTAATCACAAGTTACCAAATTATGGGAAAAGGGGGGAATTTGGCATTATTACTCCAATCCGGCAGCCTTCATCATAATAGGAATCTTTCCACTCTATGTTAAGGGCTGCCACCAGTGTTCCCTTTTCTATGAAGCAGATGGCAGAAGTTACCAGACAGGAAAGATGATGTCTGTTCTCCCCACATGTTTCTTCTCCAGTACTTCTTCAGTGGTTCTCACAATGAGCATATTGGCATCATCTTAGGCATGGAGTGCAATGTGCCCTTTGTTTTATGGATAACTCGTAAGCATCTTTGTAAAGCTCTGCTTATTTTTCTTGTATAAAAGAAGGCCCCTTTCTCATGCTTGCTGCTGATCTTGCCTAAAACTTTTCTGTTACTGACGATGATTTTTTTGCATGACTTTATGTTCATAGAGCAAAAGCTCATGGCATGGTGCCTTATGTCTTGAATGCTTGGGGAGTTTGACCTGCCAAAACCAACAGGAAGAGCTTCACAGGGGTTTTCTGTGAAATGGCTACTGTACTGATAAAAAAAAGGCCTTGAGTGTGCCTGCTCTCATTCATAGAATTGTAGAATGGAACTTTATCAACAACATAGTATATTTCTTGTTTGACAGTAGGAATTGTACTTGCATGGCTTTGCTATGTCTTTGTGAGATTTGCTAGCAGTGCCTTTTCTAGCTGCTTTAAAAACTGTGTGCTAGAATCAGTCAAGGCAGGTGGGAAGGTGGACAACTCATACTGGAAGTATCCCACCATTTCAGTTCAGTGTGCCTTGGGAGGGCCATGACATTCTGTGTGTTAACACCCTTTATGTTGCAAATGTGATGTGTTTCAGTTGCAATTGCCACATCTTTCTTTAACACTTTCATAGTTAGACTTCACATCATTTTGATTCATAGCTGCACTGGCAAAATATTTACCAGTTGTTCTCATGTTTTCCATTCCATGTCTGTTGTATTATCCACATTCACTATTTCTTAATTCACAAAGAATATTTACCAGGTCCTTGGGATGAGTCAGCTGGACTGCAGTCTTGAAAGAACCAGGAGATCTAGGGAAAAGTTTAAAATTTTGTATCCGTCTTGGATCAAAATGTTGGTTTTCACTGCTTATGATAATACCTGTCAAAATGCTTAATGCATCAAACACTTCACTTCATGCTGAGTCCATATGGCTCATTTGCTTTCAGTCATTCTTCTGTCCCCAATGTGTCAACCCCTCCTTGGCTTTCTAATGATCTCATGAGCTTTTGCTCTATGAACATATTAGTCTTTACTCCAGCCCACATAATGTTTTGACAGCTTATTGTGAAATAGCCTTTTAGAATGTTAGCATGGTGTACATGCAGTTGAAAGTAACCGAGTTTAAGTCATTTGCAGAGAGAAAAACCATGGAACACATGCCTGGTGGAGAGCCTT